TATTTTTTAAAATAGACTTTTTATTTTTTTATTTTTTAGGCAGAGTTTCACTCTTGTTACCCAGTCTGGAGTGCTATAGCACAATCTCGGCTTACTGCAACCTCCACCTCCGGGGTTCAAGCAATTCTCCTGCCTCAGCCTCCTCAGTAGCTGGGATTACAGGCATGCGCCACCATACCCAGCTAATTTTGTATTTTTTAAGTAGAGATGTGGTTTCTCCATGTTGGTTAGGCTGGTCTTGAACTCCCAACCTCACATGATCTGCCTGCCTCAGCCTCCCAAAGTGCTGGAATTACAGGCGTGAGCCACCGCACCTGGTGCCAGGATAGTCTTGATCTCCTGATCTCGTGATCCACCCGCCTTGGCTTCCCAAAGTGCTGGGATGACAGGTGTGAGCCACTGTGTCCAGCCCAGACTGCACTTTTGTGAGCAGAAAAAGGTGAAGGAACACCTCTTCCTGAACACACTTGTCATGTGTCAGAAAACTGGTGGCACAGACACATAAGCCTACAAAATGAATGGTGTGCCCTTAAAGGTGGCATTCTTGTGCAGTACCCAACGTGCCTAACTGTACATGGCAGCCCTGACTTTGCATTTCCTGACCTAGGATTCCATTTCCTGCTGTGAATAGGGACAATATACAAAACTGCCAAAGCGGTAGCTGTAACCTAAGTTTGAACAATATTACTACACTATTCTGTGTTTCCCCAGGGTTGCAAACCTCAAAATGCCAAGAGGTCAAAAAACCCAGGATGTGCTGGTGAGGTGGAGGGAAAGGAACTAGGGAGAGCAAGAAAATCAGACAAATGATTGTGAAAAACCAAACCTCAAAGAACCACTTTAATTCCGGCCTAACAGCACCAGGTGCAATGTCTGGGGACAGACTCTGGGTACAATGCTGTGTGGCGACCACTCACTCACACACAGCTCCAAGGAGGCCCCCAAGGGGGACTTACCTTCAGGGAGCTGCGCCAAGGGGGAAAGGGGTAGCCCCAGAATAGGGGAAGGGGCAGGCACGGGGGAAAAGGTGCTACTTCTTGGCAAAGGAGATCTTCATGGCGTTGTTCTGGGTGATCTTAAAGCCCTGCAGGGCATCGCGAGCTGCCCCTGCCTGTACCTCATTGTCGAACTCCACGAAGGCGATGTCATGCCGCCCAGGGACCAGACGGACCTCCTTGAAGCCAGGGAATCTGGAAGAGAACGACAGACCTCAGGGACTCGGCATTTCCCCCTAACATGCTGGCATCAAGTGGACACAAGTCAAAAATGATGCCAAATAGCCTCCAATGCACAGGACAGTGCCCCATTAATACCAATTATCCAGCCCAAAATGTAGGTAGCACTCAACTGAAAAACTCTAATGTAAACATAGCATTTAATGAAAAATTTTAATACAAACACCCATGCATCTGCAAATAGTACACTGCAGACCCCCAGGCCCTTCCTAAATCATACCCCCTACCCCGCCACACCAACAATAATTGGTACCCTCCCTTTGTTCAGTTTTGTTTTGTATTTTTAGCAGAGATGGGTTTCACCATGTTGGCCATGCTGGTCTCAAATTGCTGACCGCAAGTGATCTGCCTGCCTCAGCCTCCTAGGACACTAGGAATACAGGCGTGAGCCACCGCGCCTGGCCTTACCCTCACTTTTCTGATATGCTATTTCTCTAATTTCCCCCTTCTCATTCCGTACTTCTTTCTCCATTAAGCAACCATCCTCATGTTTACTGGGTATCCTATTTTCCATCAGCATTCCTACAAAATATACAGCTTTGTGGGCATGCTGCACGTGTGGTATTGCTTTTCTGTTTTTCTCAGGCTCTCACAATCTCCTCTCAGCATTATTATAAAGTTGCGCTTTCTTGCCAGGCGCAGTGGCTCACGCCAGTAATCCTGGCACTTTGGAAGGCCTAGGTGGGCGGATCACAAGGTCGGAAGTTTGAGACCAGTCTGGCCAATATGGTGAAACCCGTCTGCACTGAAAATACAAAAAATAGCAGGGTGTGGTGGTGGGCACCTGCAGTCCCAGCTACTCGGGATGCAGAGGCAGGAGAATTGCTTGATCCCGGGAGGCAAAGGTTGCAATGAGCGGAGATTGTACCACTGTACTACAGCCTGGGTGACAGAGTGAGACTCCATGTCAAAAACAACAAAAAAGTTGCGCTTTCTGTTCTTGTAAGTGTCACACAGTGCAGCCTGGTGAGCACCTGCATGAGGCCCATCTCTTCTTATAGACAGCCTCCAACCCCCCCACCACAAATACTGTGATGAATGCCCCAGTCACAGCCCCTGAAACAGAACCACCAGACAAACTCACTCACATCCACAGCTTCACTCAATGGTGAACAGCCCCTCTACACATCGGCCGTGCTGGTCTCCACCCTGACACCAGGCACAAGAGTCCACACGGTCCCATCTCCCACACTTGCTGTTTTTGAGCACACTGACTTCTGCCAGTCTTATAGCTAGTGCTCAAAGACGTCTTGATGTAGTGTTACATGTACCTTGCCTTGCATGGCTCCATTTTAGGGGCTGGGAAAATGAGGCCCAGAGCCTGGACTCCCTCAGCCCTCAATTAAGCCTGAAAAAGTCCACAAGCCCTGGCCATGGTGACCTTTCCAGCCTCATCACCACGTCCCCAAAGGCCATGGGCCCAGCCACAGCCTCCTCCCTTTTACATCTTTGGTCACTGTCCCTCCTGCAAAGCCGTACTTGGCTTAGGGCTCTGCTGGCAGAGGTCTGAGGCCTGTTCCCATGGAGATGCCTCCTGCCCATCAACCTCCAGGGACCACCCAGCCACAGGCCCCACTTACTGATTGAAAAGCATGGACAGCATGAGCTCGTTGGTCTCCTCTGGCAGGTTGGTGAGGAACAAGATGTGATTCGGTGGATTCTCGGAAAGCTGTGGGGGTGTGGGGGAGCCAGTGAACACAGGAGCCCTAAACCTAGTGGGGGACCCCAGTACAGCCCCTTCCTCCATCACTCACACTGCATGGATTCATTCTGGTACTTCCACCCAATGCGCCACATACTGTTGCCCATCCGCCCCCCACCCCTTTCCCCCTACAGACTGTAGGCCACAGGACAGCAGAGGTTTCTGTCTCAGTCCCTGCTGCATTGCTACGGTGCAGTCTGGGCCTGGCGCATAAGCAGGCATTCAACCTAGGTGCTGGCACCGCTCCAGCCTGCCCTAACCTTCTGGACCCTCCAACCAGCATGCCAATTCCTCTCTGCCCAAGGCCCACTCCCACTGCTACATCCTTATAATTCAGTACCACCCCCTCAGGGGGGGCCTGCCCAGACCACAACCTACAACTGCCCCCCAGCTGGTCCCTTTCTAGTCTTGTATTCTATTTATATGAGGCCTGGTGGGGTGGGGACGGGACTAGATACTCACAGGCTGCGCAGGGGGCATCTGTCCCGGCATGAGCTGCTGTGGGGGCATGGCCCCTGGTGGGATCTGGCCAGGTGCAAGGCCTGGTGGGGGGATCATGCCAGGGGGCGGCATGTAGGGCGGCTGGCCCGGCATGTGGTGCATGATGCGCGGTGCCTGAGTCATTGGTGGCATGCCCTGTGGGGAGAGGAAGGAGAGCACGTGGTTATGGCCTCCCCAAGGGGCAGAGAAGAGGCCAGGAGAGGAAACCCAGCGGGTGAGCGATGCAAGAAAAAACACCCAGAAAGAGGTGAAAAAGGCACCCAGAGAGGGCCAGACAGAGCAAAAACCAACCCAGGGTCTAGTGGCACATTAAATCAGAAAGAGCTAACTTAAAAACTCCCCAGGTGCAGTGGCATACGCCTATAGTCCCAGCTATTTAGGAGGCTGAGGTGGGAGGATCACTTGAACCCGGGAGGTCAAGACCCCGTGCAGTGAGCCATGATTGTGCCACAGCACTCCAACCAGCCTGGGAAGCAGAGCAAGATCCTATCTCTTAAAAAACAAAAGCAGGCCGGGTGCAGTGGCTCAAGCCTGTAATCCCAACATTTTGGGAGACCAGGACATGTGGATCACATGGTCAGGAGATAGAGACCATCCTGGCCAATATGGTGAAACCCTGTCTCTACCAAAATACAAAAAATTAGTCGGGCGTGGTGGTGTGCACCTGTAGTCCCAGCTACTCAGGAGGATGAGGCAGGAGAACCACTTGAACCTGGGAGGCGGAGGTTGCAGTCAGCAGAGATTGTGCCACTGCACTCTAGCCTGGGTGACAGCATGAGAGTCTGTCTCAAAAGCAAAACAGAACAAACAACAACAACAAAAAAGCCCCACATCAAAGGAGGGCAGGGATGGAAAGGGACAGCCAGGGAAGGAGCAGAAAGAAATGTGTGGTAGGCCGGGCGCGGTGGCTCACGCCTATGATCCCAGCAGTTTGAGACCAGCCTGGGCAACATGGTGCAACCCCCTCCCTACTAAAAATACAAATATTAGCTGGGTGTGGTGGTGGGCACCTGTAATCCCAGCTACTAGAGAGGCTGAGGCAGGAGAATTGCTTGAACCTGGAAGTTGCAGTGAGCCGAGACTGCACCACTGCCCTCCAGCCTGGGTGACAGAGTAAGACTCTGTTCCAAAAAATAAAAACAGAAACAAATGAGGGCAGAGATGGCAAGGGACACTCCGGGCAGGTGCAGAACAAAACGCACGGCAGCAAGGGGAAGAGGGAAGACAGCAGATGGCAGGCAGCACAGACAGGCTGGAGTCACAATCTGAAGTCAAAAGTGGACAGAAAGCTGGGTGTAGTGAAGACAAGAGAGGTTAACAACAGGAGCCCACAGTAATCCGGAAGCCACAGGCGACTTGGAGAAAGTGTGAGTGGCACTGAACAGAGCACGACTCAGTCAGAGCCAGAGACAAAAGCCAGACAGACACAGAGGCTCAGAGACCCAAGAAGTGGGCCCAGTTCGTCCATCTTTTCTTTCTTTCTTTCTTTTTTTTTTTTT